TTCATCACCTGCCACCTTTTCAAAAAGTTCGCCACCAGACATGCTGTAAGAAGGGATAACCAAATCATTTCGTTTTGGTGATTGAACCTTGGTGCGAATAAAGCGGCTGAAATTTTATCATGAGAATGAAATAAACTTACAACTCGTAAATCATGACCATTTCTTGATCGTCTTCGAAGGCATCATGTAAGTTAATCAGTCTTGGATGTCGCAACACTGACATGGTATTAATTTCTTTTTTGACCGTAGCTTTATCAGCTTCGTGAGGTGTGTTGACAAATTTTGCTGCAAAGGTGTTTCCAGTTGCTCGCTCAACGCATCTGTGGACTACACCAAAAGCACCTCTGTAATTGACAAATTTGCCATGTATAAGTGATAAAATCTCCCGTTTACTCATTTTTACAGAAACTTAAGCGGAAATCATAGCTGTAAAGGCACCAAAAGAAACTCACGCTCCAATTTCCTCAAGAATGTCATAGTAGTCATAAACAGAAGCTTTTTTAGGCTCTACAGGCTGAGGATAGTATTGTTTCCACACGTCTATTACGTACGAATCATAGTTGTCAGATGGGACTCCTTTCCCTCGTATAACCTTACCAGTTTCATCCACTGTAAAGGTATAACATACATAAGTTTTTATTCTTTCCTTATAAAAGCAAAGGTTGTTGTTTTTCGTGCTGAAAAACAAATTAAAGCATTTACTAACCGTCGCAGCCTTTCTTTCTATGCCTTTGTTCAGGAATAAGTACGGGAGCAGTAGCTTCACAAGGCTCTGACACACCATGTTTATTTTCAGCACTGATTCTGAACTCATATGAATGGTTTGGCTTTAGCCCTTCTATAGTTATGTAACCGTATCTTGTCTTCGCACATTCTTCCCACTTCCCACTTGAAGTGTCACGTCTCTCGACTATGTAGCTAAAATTGGAACATTTATTACACAGAAATTTGTTAAAATGACTTAAGAACAAGTTTTCTGACAAACAAAAACAAGTGCCGAATAAAAGCTTCTCAATCATCAAAACACTAAAAAAAGTAAAATAAAAACAAGACACAGAACAGAGTGAAAGGAAAACTCTACTTCGTTATTAGCGAGCCGCTTTCAATCTCAGGAGGCTTCCATGACAGAATGGCAGCTTCGTCCAAAATGTTCTCCACTATAGGGAACCTTGGAGGATCTGGACGGTCAGCAACACTCACTGATACTGTGCCAGAATCAGAACCAATGTCATTTTCAACAGTCACTCTGTATTGTCCAAAGTCACTCTTGGTGGCATTATGAATATACAGGGTCGTATTACTAAAAACAAGATCATGAATAACTAGAAAGTGATAGCGCAACGATTTTTAAATAGTTTGAAGATGATGAAAGCTGATTAACCGTTCGTCTGTTTCTATCCTATATTTTTCGCCTTCTTCGATTGGTTCACCATTCTTAGTCCACTTTGAGTGAGGTTTTGGGAATGCCTTAAACGGAATCTTCAGCTCGATTTCTTCACCCTTTTCAGCCTCATAGCCTCCATGATAGCGAGGAGGAACAAATACTCTCGGCTTTGATCGAATCGTCAGTTGCGCTTTAGTAGAACGGGTTCCTAACGCGTTGGTAGCTTTACATGTGTATTCATCTGCGTCATCATACTGCAGCTTGTTGATGGTAAGAACCTTAAACGAAAACCAGTAATAAAATAGGGAAAAGTTTAAAAGTTAATGTATGGCTTTGTTTGCTCTGAAGACTGTGAGATCATGGTGTTTGTTTTGAGGAGAGAAGGAGAAAGGAAAGGAGGGAAACGAGATCATTTTAAAGGAAACAACGAATGCAAGAAATTTTAGGCTGTTCTGCGATTCTTTGACAATTACCGGCAACGCATCATGATAAAAAAGAACATCTATTTTCATTGAATACCTGTACATCTCCTTTGCTTGTAATAGTGTACTTAGATGTGTCAACAAGTTCGCGAGTACCACGATACCAGTGATATTCAGGTCGAGGGGTACCAGAGATCTCACATTCCAAGGTCACTGAACGACCTTTCTCACCCAGTGTGTCCGAAAGCGGCCGTTCAATTGTTGGAGGCTTCCCTTCAGGCCCGGGTTGGAACGTCAACTCAGTCCTACAAAAAGAGACAAATCTAAAAGTAAAGTTCTCAAAAGTTTTCAAATATTATGAGTTTTTAGACAATAGTTCTTACACTTCACAATTAAACGATTATTCCAGCTCAAACATAAATCTTTCATCTATAACTTCGAAGCAAAAATCAAATTTTTAACGAATTCTAGAACAGTGTTTATGCTTCTTTTACAAAAAAACATCTAAAGTTCATTTTTAAAATATTTTACGATAAGCACAAAAATCATCAAATCACTTATTATTTTAACATTTACATTTTACTGCTTTATCTTCTCATCTAATTATAACGAGAAATTATTATTTTATTTGAGAAACGTCAAACGTACTTAGGTGATGGTTCCGAGTAACCAGCGTCGTTGACAGCGAAAACGCGAAATTCATATTTACGACCTTCAATCATATTGACGACGTTGTAATTGAAAGCATTGATTGGAGCATGATTGCATTTCTGCCAAACATCTGAGCCATTTTCGCGTTTTTCTATGATATATCCTCTTATGCCGCCACCTCCGTCTGACAGCGGGCGATTCCAGGTCAGAGTCAAAGAACCGGGACTCATGTCTGCCACCTTAAACAGTATATTATAAAATTTCTTTTGATGTGCTTTTCTAAAAGGTAAAACAGTGTCATAAAACATAAAACTACTTCAGGCTTTCCAGGGGCACCAGGAACATCAAACGGAAGCCGGGCGATGATAGCTTCATCTCCAACTAGTGGTGGACCTTGACCATTTTCATTCATTGCACTGACACGGAACTCGTACTCATGGCCTTCAAATAATCCAGGAACAATGTATGTAGTATCTTTAACTGAGCTTGCTACCTCGGTCCAGTCTTCTTTAATTACATCTCGCTTCTCAACAACGTAGCCGGTAATTCTTGCTCCACCATCATTCTAGAACTGACTTTATCAACACAGGAAATCAAACTGCTGAAAGTTGCCAGTAAAAACAGAGGAAATTCAGCGTCTGAGTTGTTATTACCAAATGCCATTTAAAAAACACAATGAGTTTTTCAAAAAATCTTACTGTTGGTGGACTCCAGGATAATGTGGCGCTTGTTTTGTTGACGTCACTTATCTGTAGAGGACCTTGTGGAGCTGATGGCAATCCAGTTACGTTAAGCCAAAAAGCTGTATTTGCTTCTCCACTGTCATTGCTAATAGTCAGCTCATATCGACCGGCTTCTGCACTGTGAATTGCTGGTATGGTAATAATTACATGATTGTCAAAGTCAACGAAATGTATGTTAGGATGATCCATTGGTACTTCCTCTTTATTAAGGGTAAGAAGATAACGGAATGGCCCAGTTCCAGAAAAGTAAATCTTTAGGCGAACCATTTCTCCATCAGCGTATATCGCATTTCCGACGTCTTTTTCAATGACGGGAGGAGCTAAAAATAATTTTTCCCTACACTTTTTTTGGTTCTGCTACCTCAGTATTACACTTTCTTGCAGGAGGCAAACAAGTAATAATTTCTAAATTGGTAATTCCAAAAACTGAACAAAAGAATTGCCTTCTTACCTTGAACGATCAGTTTCGCAGTTGCAGATTCACTGCCGAAAGCATTTGAAACTTCACAAGTGTACTCTCCGGCATCAATATCCCAAACTTCTTTAATAATAAATCTGAATACATCATTTTGCACTTCAGTTCTGTATCTCGCTCCTTCAGGTACTTCACGGCCATTGCGAAGCCACCTGGCTTTTGGAGCTGTAAAAAAAAATTTTTTTTTAAAAGCTGATTTTTTTCAGTGGGGCTGGAAAAAAATTTCTACTATTTTATTCCACTCTTCAAAT